CTGATGTGTCCTCGTAAAAGCATATGCTAAATAATGCTGTCCCTGCAGATGACTACACATTAATGAAGTCCTCAGAAGATAGAAGTATTCTTACACTAGGATGCTACAGTAGACTTTGGCCAATCAGTCTACATCTTTGCCAACAGATATGATCCTGCTTAGAAGACATGTCAAATGGAAGCCAGCTGAAAGAAGATATTCAGTGGTAAACAATTCCCAGTGCAGCGATTATACCACAGCAATTGCACTTCGAGTCCTCTGTCACACACAAAGATTTAAAGAATGAAAATACAAGTGATTGCATTCAGGCCAGAGGTGCTTTTGACAATTTGGTCTCATTCTGAAAAAGAAATGTGAATTCAGAAAGATATAGATAGAATGTATATAAAAAAATTGCAAACAAAGCCATTTAAACTGAAGGTGTTACTTCCCTTACCCACATGCCAGGATGCTTCTTCTGCCAAGAGATTCCTTAGAATGACAACTCCCTTTGGGAATTTTTTATTAAATTCCTTTCATCTAACCAACCACCCTGAGAGATTCCTCTCTATTAATAAGTATGTTTCTAGGGAGGAATATAACAACTCATTTTAAGTAAGTGATAACTACTGGCATTTCTACCTGCTTTTGAGCTCAGCAAATTCTCTAACAATAGCCATAGATGCATCTCACACAGCCAGAACATGACCAGAGGCCATTCGTGCACACATTAGAAAAGTGCACATCAGCTATGATCACTTGGACCTGCAGATACCTCTTTTGTGTATGTGTTCAGCATTTATAGAACATTTACAACAGCAGAAGCTAATGCCAGAGTTCTGATTATGCAGCTTCAAGCAAAAGAAAAGACTTCAGAGGAGGTATTAAAGGCAGTGCTAACCTTGTCCTGGCTGAAATCCCAACATCTGCCAGCTGACACAAGCAACAGAAGGATGAAAAACAAGAACAACAAAAAAAGACTTGCCACAAAATTATTCAGTGCTGCCAAAGGATCAACTCTGAACATGTTATATCCATGTATCCAGTGCTGCAATGGTGACATTTAGCATCATCATCCCTAAAATCAAGGAACAACTTGATGCAAGTAAACTCAGTCTAGATGGACAAATGTGTTTAAAGAGGGTTGCTTAGAAGACAGAAAATTATTACCAGACTCAATAAGAAAGCTTCTGACCCTAGAATCAAGTGCCAACAGATTTACTTGACAGGCCAGCATGGACATGTGCCTTTAGAGCTGAGACAGTAACATTCATACTCACTGCATCATGATGATCCTTGCACAAGCTTGACACATGACATCCAGAAACTATACTCGGGATTTGCAAAGAATGGAATGCCCGACTGTTCTCTTTTCAGGTGAAAGGTTTTCAAATGAACAGTAAAACCTCCCTAACATTTATAGTACACTGTTGAGTGTTGTCTAAGATCCCATTGCACTCATCGCACTGCAGAAGTAGCAGTGGACACTGTCTGCTTGAAATCACGCATGAAAATCAATTTTATTCAGAGCACTTCAGGAACATAACTCATTTATTTATCTTTCCAAAGCTTGTGAAGATAATATGGTTATCTCCACATTTGTCTCTCACATTTTAAATGTAAATAGTCCAATCTGAATGATTCTGGAGACACATACTCATGACTCAAAGATATTTGGAAGCTGGTGAAAATCAGCACATTCTACCTAAGAACGTCACAAAGACTTACTTAAATCAGGTTCCTCTCCACTATATATCAATAAAAAAAGATATCTGGGAATACTCCGTGAAGATATCTGCCTCGTCCTTTTGAAGATTGCCCTTGATAATAAAAACAGCAATAATTTTAAATGCGCCATCTCACTTTCTCTCAATTGGTTTTGAATTGAGTTCATTGCACAACTCCACAGAAATGTTGCAAATGCATCTGTGGATACTGCTGAGAGCACAGATGCACAGCTCTTCTCTTGTTCAACATCTCTCTTGCTCCCAGTATGTTTCCATAACACTTTTTGCCCAAAATTCCACTAAGCAGTCAGCTATCAGGGAATCCACTTTCTTGTTAATATCCTTCTGATGACAGACCTCAGTGAGAGACATTCTTCTTCTATGCAATCAGACTTTTTTTTGCTTCCTATGCTAGGCCTTTATTACATTCTTGTCCCACGATTTATTTTGACTAGTCCTAACTACCATGCCATCCAATATTGCCAGTTATTTCATACATACATTATTTAACATATTTATTTTACGTATATATAATGAAGACCCTTGTTTTGAATCCCAAGCAAGAGGTGATATCATAGAAATCCTTCTCTGATGACAAAGTCTTACATATATTAAAATGTCCTTAGAAATGAATGATTTATGAACTCTTGTCTTGTAAAAGAAAGCATCATGTAGAGAGACAAGTACTACTTCAGACATGCTTTGTTGATCAGCCTTTGCCATTTGGATGCTATCAAAATGTTCCCAGCATTCACATCAGATGGAGATGAAATCCACTTGTGAATTGAGGTCTCTTAGACCTCTAAGGGGTCTGCCAAGGACACTTATATGCACAACTTTTATGAGCAAGTTTCAGCATCTGCTAAATACCCCAGTCCCATCACAGGAGAATTTGAAGGAATCCACAACTAAGCCTGAAAAATCACTGAAAAAAATCAACCTGAAAATCTGAGAGAGCTATCTGGATGATTTCTTATTATTTGTGCTCATTCCACAATTACTGTATCATACTAACAACACCGAGTCACAGAATCGTAGAATCATCTTCCTTGGAAAAGCCTTCAAAATCACCAAGTTCAACCATCAGTCCAACCTACCCAAGTCCTGTCCCTCAGCTACATCCCTTAGTGCCACATCTACACAACTCACATGTCTCCAAGGATGGGGACTCCACCACTGCCCTGAACAGCCCCTTGCAGTGCTTGATTGCACTTTTTATGGAAAAAAACTCTTTCTAAGGTCCAACTTAAAGCTCTCCTGAAGCAACCTGACACTTGCTCACGTCCATCCTTAAAAGCAGGCAAAGAAAGATGGGCACCTGGAAGCTAAACACAACCATGGACACAACTTCATTCCTAATGGTCCCCACCCAAAAATAGGCAGAGTTGAAGCAGATGTTCTTTCTACTCTTCATCTGTTTTTCCCCTTTCTCACTTCACAATTCCCAGATGAGATCTGATCAAGTCAACACTGGCAATGCTACTAATGAAGCAAATCCTCTCTAACCTTCTCCAAACAAGAGACTGGGCCAGCAACGAAGAATTCAAGCAGCTGCAGGCCCACAGACATATAATGCTCCTAAAGGCAAATCACCAAGACCACGAATTGCTAGAAATGGCATCTAGATGGAAGAGACAAGACCAGTAATTTCTAACGCATAAGGTTCCCATTGCTTTCCTTTCTTTTTTTTTTTTTTAAACAGTTTACCTACCTTACAAAATCCAGTCATACCCTGTAATTGCAGCGTTCAGCTCCAAGTACGTAAAGTGCAATATTTTTAGTGCAAAAATTGGCAGTCTTGGAAATACTTATAAATGTTCTCTCCCTTGTATGGGTTTTTGCATGGGTAAAAACAACAGAAGATTTTTAAGCCTTTTACTGACACATCTAACCCTCTTAAAGGGTCACACTTGCAAGGTCCACAGCAAATAGGGTGCTATGAAGCTCACACACAGCTACAATCAAGCATTCAAATTTTAAGCTAGCCATTACCTACTAGTATATGGGGCGGCTTCTCCTGCTTTTAATTCCCTATGAGCCCAGCCCATGTCCCTTCCACAACAGTGCATCTGACAAAATACAGCACAGTGCTCCTTGCACCAAGGCACATCACAGCAGCAAGTCCTTGTGCACGGGGCCTAAGGGAAGTGTGGTTCAACCATAAAGGCCAGCCAGTAGTGAAAAGCAATGCAAAGCACTACAGCTCCCAGGAGACACTGTGAGTATATTTTTGGCTAAACTCTTCTGGTTTTCAGCCAAAATACTTTGACAAAAGGACTAAACTACTCTGAAAAATTGACACTCCTCTTCAAAAAACTGCTTCATCAAAAGCCTTTCCACTTCAAAATGATTCTAGCTCAAGTTTTGGGCAGCCCTTAAGCTGACTAAATGGAGCTTTTGAAATAGTGTAAAATCACTCAAAAGTAATCAGAAAAACAGCTCTCAAAATGACGTACAATCTGTAAACTACACTGTGCAATTCCCTGCTGGCTGCAGGGCTACGCCATATTTAAAATGCCATTTTAACTATGACTTTCAGTTACATATTCTGTCTCCTTATGCCAATTTGCACATGACTGAAAAGCATGAATATGGCCCTCTGTTTACTAAACTACTTACTCTCACGGTCAAGCTTGTTTAGACCAAAATTCTATACCTTCGCAGATTCTAATTTTCATTTAGGATTCTTTTACACTACTGCCACCAACTTGATCTGGTTTTAACTGTATCAACTCTTGATTACAGTGGTGTAGTCCTTACTGAATCCACTGTCATCTGCTTCATTTCAGCAATGTCAGTCTTTATTCCCTGCCTCGCAGATGTATTAAAAATTTACTTTTTAAAGTGGAAAATAACCAGCTGCTGGGAAGTACAGCTACAAGGAAGGAGAAAAGCACTGAGTATTTCCAAAAGTTAAACTGAGATATCAATTATCTGTTATAGAAAATGATAACAGCCCCTTAATAAACGCAATAAGTTTCAGTCACATGAAAAATTAAAATATACTGCTTTGTCCTTTGTTACTCAAAGAAAGGAATTAACTCTTGCAATGGCATTTTTACATTTTCAATAGAAACACTGATTAGGAATTCTGTGCTCTAACCCACATGGGTACTTCTGAACAGAAAGGTCCAACATTAACAGCTTGCTCTGTTCTAGCAAATATTTCTCTTACCTTCCCCTGTTGTGTGGCCATTGCCAGTCATGTTTTGCTGCTTACAAGACAGTCAGCCAACAAACATCCTTTTTTTCCTTTATGTTCTTCTAAAGAATGAAAGTATAAAAGTCACTTACCTTACGGTTGCTGAGAAAACTGCAGAACACTCTGTGCCTGCAGGGACACTGCACAGATGAACCTCATTGCTGCTGTTTACAGAAGTCTGACAGTTTTTAATTTGAAAGAGGTTGTCTTTTGCTTTTCGACAGTTCAACAAATCAGACAACACAGTTGCAAGTGTTATCTGTAAACAGCTTCCTGTTTGAAATAGATCAGCTGTCCTGCAGGACAATAATTAGGAAAGAAGTGTGGGAAAGCTGAAGAGGTCCATGATGTAAGCTTTTTATTTTGGGAATGTACTTTTTTGGGAATGCACTCTTACTCTCCCCTCCTCCTCTCTAGCAGAGAACCCCTTTTTAACCATTTAGATCTATTCAGCTCTAAGTTATGCATGCACACTGCGCTTTTACAGCACTTTCCCTCCTTTGCTTAATTCCTAACAACTGATAGTAAAAACACACAGTGTGCAGCACTGAATATGATCATGTTACGTGGATAATTAACATATTTTCCTTACTGACACTCTCCCTATTTTTGCAATTGGATGTAGCATCCTTGACTTGTTGAGTAAAAAACATGAAACTTCCAGAGCCCACTCAACACTCCACAACATTAACATTGTTACCCACATTGTTTTTTTTAAGAATACCTTTTGATATCACTTGGTATTAGTGCAAAAAGGAGGAAAAAAAACCAGAAATCCTTCATCATAGCTTCTAAACATTTGTACAACTTTTTCCTCTTAATCAGCTGAACCGTCTCATACATTCCCCAAAATAGAAATCATAACATCAGAAAGATTTTGAAATGTGGAACCAGAGAAAGCTGTGATAGCATTATGTGTGTGTGTTTGTTGGCCTTCTGATTCGTTCTCAAGGAGTTACAGGTCCTCTCCATTGTAGATTTTGCTACAGGTGGTTGTGGTGCACTTTGCAACCCCAGTTGATATACTTCTCCCCCTCTCCCATAGAAGACCCCTCCCAGCACTCTTCTCCTAGCCCTGAGTATGCAGATTCCTTCCCACCAGGGCTCCCATTTCAAGCTCCACCACCTCACAGCCGAGCAACTTTGTTGATGAGGGAAGAGTTCTACTGGCAGAGCAATCCCTTGCTCTTCTGGAGAAGAAAATTTGTTCAACCAGCAAATCCCCACCTCCACGAAGCCTGTAGATTAACAGGCAGCAAGGGTACAAACAAGACAGCAGTGCTGCAGCTGTCACTGCTGTCACAGCAGTGCAGAGGTAGCACTGCTGCCCATTCAGGAATTGCCATAGTAAGGGCAGAGCCTTTCCTACACCACTCTGTTGTCAGTTGGGGCTGCAACCTGGCTAACTTTCCTTCATCACTATCAGCTTCTGGATTTTAACAACACCAGTCACAAGGTGTTAAGAGCTGATGCTCACTTCCAGATGACATCAATAAAAATGAGAAAATCATGGAACGAACATAACTGCATAAGCACTGCACAACTCTAACTTGAAAGCAGTTTCATGTGTACAAGCACTGTTAGATGAGTAGGATCAGAAGGCAATAACCAGGACTGGGCCCTTGCAGCACTCTGTTGGCAGCAGCTTGCTGAGAGAAACGTTTGATGTAAAGAATGCAGCCAAGTGACTGCAGTCCAAGCCTTTGAAGATCATATTACGATGGCAAAGCAACAGCCATTTACATACATATCTACTCTCCCTATATAAACAGGCAAATAACTGAGGCCAGAAACAGAGTTCAAGGGAGACAGTGCCATTTCAGGGAAGGTTAGAAAAGGTAGAATTGAACACTAAGCAAAGAGAACTGAAAAACAAATGTAAATGCCCAGAGTTCAAAACTGAAGGCCAAACACTGCAGATGTAATAGAAGTGTATTTGTTAAAAAAAAAATGAGAAAATAAGTGTATTGTTTTAACTAGGAGAATAAAAGAGGTGTGTTCCTCCTACTGCTGGACAATAGCATCCCTCAGCCACAGAGATGTGACTGGAGGCTGCATAGCTATGCTAGGACCTCACCTGAGCTGGACTGCTATGGGCAGATTGGGGTGCTGCTTCCCAGGCTATGCCAGAGCAGCTTAAGTGTTCACCTTCCATCTTCTCCATCTAGCTCTGTCCCTTTCCATAGCTTAGCCAAACCAACAACGGCTATTAGGCCTCATTAAGTCTCAGTAGCTGTTGGCAACTGAGCAAACATAAATAGGCCAGCCTGCAAACTATGGCAGTTCAAGAGCTCGTTCACAAGTTTTTCAGCCACCCTTGCTGGTGGAGGGACAACCCTGAGGCTTGTGTATATAAGAAATGCACGCAACCTAGATCAGCTATCTCAGCTCAGTCCACAACAGACATTCACTCAGCTTTCAAAATCAGGTTATACACCATGCTGACAAAGAATATGAGAATCCAAATATGAGAATATTTGGACTGAAATAGTTCAAGCAAACAAACAAAAAACAAAAGCTTTTTTTTTTCTTGAAACAACAGGGAAAAATGCATTTATACATTCTCTGAGCCTTCAGGCAGATTCTTCTGCTCTCTCCACAGAGAAATTGCATTATCCCTATCCGTAAGAGGATTAAATATAATATTCATTGAAAAACACGGTATCCACTTGAAAATATTGTTTTGGAAAGACAAAGGCCTAGAATTCTCTCCTCAGTTTGGTAAAACATCCAAGAGCGTCAAAGAATCACAGAACAGCCGAGAATGGAGTGGATCTCTAGAAGGTGCTCTTGTTCAACTCCTGCTCAAACAAGACAAGTGACATTCTAGTTCAGATTTTTAAAGGATGAAAATTGCCAATACCCAAACTCTTTAATAAAAAGACAAAAATTCAAATTCAATTGCTGGATTTAAAGAGCATCACAAGTTGTGTCACAAATACTGTTCCACTTCTTGAAAATAAGAGCAGCCTCCCTAACCAGCCCTTGGTAAGCCTCCCAAGGCAAACTCCAAAAACAGGTAAGAAAATGCAGCAGATCCACTTTCCATGGTACAGATCTGCACATCAGAGTGCTGTGTGGACTCCCATTTTTTGTTCCTTACTACAAAGTGATGCTTCCCTTTTCCTTTGGCTTCACCTAATAATCATTCAGCTAAGAAAATAAGAAATAATTTTATTACATGTAAAAATGGGGGAAAAAAAGTCTGTGATCCTGCCTCTATGAAGATATCCATACGTACCTCATTCCATTAATGGAGCCAGAAAGGGCAGACACAACCACTTTAGTCTGATGAACAGGAAAGAAGAGGAAACATGACCCTTAATGTCTTTTCTGATAGCATATCAGATGTAGGTGGGAAAGTTCACCACAAAAGCAGCAATGAAGGACATTTTTGTTTTTGTTTTTTTTTCATACAGAAGTGTAAGATCTAGCTTTCTAAGCAGCATTCACTCCAGAAGTTGCAATATGACTGCATTTTGTTATTCCCTGTCTCTTAATTTGAAAGAATCTCTCCAATGCCTGGCTCTACTTTTTGTCTGTCCAGGAAGAGATCACATCCAAACCAAAAATGTAAGCAAAGACCAAGTTCATGATCACCAGAGGAATCTGAACATCCATACATCTACTGGCCCCAGTGAGATGCATCTTACAGCCCTGAGGGAACAGGCTGATGTAGTTGCCAAGCCACTCTTGATGATATTTGAAAGGTTATGGCAGTCAGGTAAAGTCCCTGGTGACAACAAAATATGCAATACTGCACCCAATTTTAAGAATGGTAGAAAGTACGACCCAGGGAACCACCTGTCAGCCTCAGCTTGGTGTCTGGGAATTTGACTGAACAGATTCTCCTGGAAGTTATGCTTAGAGACAAAACTTGAAGCTGATCAAAGACAACAAGCCTGTCTCCAAGGGCAAGTTATCCCTGATCAAGTCAGTGGCCTTCTACAATGGCATAACAGCATCAGTGGACAGGGGAAGAGCCACTGATGTCATCTACCCAAACTTCTATAAGGCCTTTAACATGGTCCCCCACAGCATCCCTGTCTCCAAATTGGAAATACATGGATTTGATGAGTGGACTGTTTGATGGATGAAGAACTGGCTGCAACACTGCACTCAGGGTGATGGCCAATAGCTCAATGTCCAGATGGAGATAAGGGACAAGTGGTATCCATCAGGGATCAGTACTTGGACAGATGTTCTTTAATATCTTCATCAGCTACATCAATATTGAGATCAAGCACATTCTCAGTAAGTCTGCAGATGATACAAGCTATATGGTGTGGTCAACATGCCTGAGAGATAGTATACTATCCAGAGACCTAAACAGGCTTCAGGAGCAGGCCCAGAACCTCATGAAGTTCAACAAATCCACATGGGAAGGTCTTGCATCTGGGTCATGACAACTCTACCATCAGTAAAAGCTGCAAACAAAAGGATTGAGCACAGCCCAAAAAGGACCTGGGGGTACTGGTGGGTGGCAAGCTGGATACGAGCCAGCAATATGACCTCATAGACCAGAAAGCCAATCGTTTCCTGGGCTGCATCAAAAGAAGTGTGATCAGCAGGTTGAGGAATGTGATCCTGCCTCTCTGTGCTGGTGAGACCTCACCTGGAGTACTATGTCCAGATGTGGAATCATCAGTACAGGAGAAACGTGGATCTGCTAGATAGCATCCAGAGGAAGGGCACAAAAATGATCCAAGAC